TATTGAGATATGAAAGCATATCTTTGGCTTTCAAAAGATTTGCATATTGAGCAAATGATAGCATAGTTGAGTTACAGCAACCTGATTATTCAATAAATGTATTAGATAATGGAAGGAAGGTGCTACAGTAAATAAAGGAGTATATAAGCAGGTGAAAACAAAGTGTCACAAAGGTGAGTCAATTCCTGAGAGTGATGAGACGTGTCTAGCGAGATATCTTCCCTCTGTATTAGGACTGAGTATTTTTCTCATCATTGCAAATAACCTCCAACATGTTGAGTGCAGAGACCATTTCTTGCCGTTTTTATGTCACAAAGAATGGGAGGAAAATACACATGAAGGAAGTCTCCAAGAAACTACAGGAAGATCTGGGCAAACATTCAGTATGGTCTAACAAGTGGCTGCTAGAACTTAATTAACTACAGTATGTGCAAAATAATGCAGATGTGTGGTAGGGACAAGATGTCGGACTTAGGCTGAGTTATCCACTAGGAGGGAAAATTCTTTTAGAGACAGATACCACAGAACAAAAAAACATACATTCCACCTGTTAACTACTCTGACACTGAAAAAGTTCTTTCTAACGTCCTTGTGGCTCATGTGGGTACTCAGTTTCCACCTGTTTCCCCTTGTTCGCGTCCCACCAGTGTTGAATAGTTTATCCTTGTCTACCCTGTTGATTCCCCTGAGGATTTTGTAGGTAATGATCATGTCTCCCCTTACTCCTCTGTCTTCCAGTGTCGTAAGGTGCATTTCCTGCAGCCTTTCCTCGTAACTCATGCCTCTTACTGTATGTGTGTGTGTACATGTGTGTGTGTGTGTGTGTGTGCGTATGTGTATGTGTGTGTGTGTGTATGTGTGTGTGTGTGTGTATGTATTCACTTAGTTGTATTCACCTAGTTGTGCTTGCGGGGGTTGAGCTTTGCTCTTTCGGCCCGCCTCTCAACTATCAATCAATCACTACTACTGTTACTAACTACTAACTTTTTCCACTCACTCAGTCACACCACACACACACACACCAGGAAGCAGCCCGTGACAGCTGACTAACTCCCAGGTACCTATTTACTGCTAGGTAACAGGGGCACTCAGGGTGAAAGAAACTTTACCCATTTGTTTCTGCCTGGTGCGGGAATCGAACCAGCACTACAGAATTACGAGTCCTGCGCGCTATCCACCAGGCTACCAGGCCCTCTGGTAGCCTGGTAACCCCTGTGCCCCCTGTGTATGTGTGTGTGTGTGTGTGTGTGTGTGTGTGTGTGTGTGTGTGTGTGTGTGTGTGTGTGTGTGTGTGTGTGTGTGTGTGTGTGAGCAGAGGTGCCATAGGCACAATCAGAGAACACTGTATAAACATCAGAGGTCCGCGGTTGTTCAACGTCCTCCCAGCGACTATAAGGAATATTGCCGGAACAACCGTGGACATCTTCAAGAGAAAACTGGACTGTTTTCTAAGAGAAGTTCCGGATCAGCCGGGCTGTGGTGGGTATGTGGGCCTGCGGGCCGCTCCAAGCAACAGCCTGGTGGACCAAACTCTCACAAGTCAAGCCTGGCCTCAGGCCGGGCTTGGGGAGTAGAAGAACTCCCAGAACCCCATCAACCAGGTACCAGGTACCAGGTAACCAGGTGTGTGTGAGTGAGTGAAAAAGTTAGTAGTTAGTAACAATTGATTGATTGACAGTTGAGAGGCGGGCCGAAAGAGCAGAGCTCAACCTCCGCAAGCACAACTAGGCGAATGCAACTAGGTGAATACACACACACAGTAGAAAGAATTTTTCAGTGTCAGAGTAGTTAACAATTGAAATGCTACACACACATGTTAGAGTACGCAGTTATCATACGCTTATTGTTAGCGTCATTTGCTTAACATAACATCCTAACCACGACCATCACCTCTTCCTCGTCCTCATCCTCCTTCCCTCTTCATTCAGCTTGTCCTCCTCTTCGTTCAAGTCCCAATTCGAGAACTAAGCTCTGGAGAATGGGGTGAGTGAGGGTGTTGCAGCCCTAGCAGGCCCCTCGTACCAAGTTTACAGTACTGTGATCGCTTGACTAACTTTCAGGACAATTTACCTCGGAATGCTGCCCCAGAACCGTCCCTGGCGAGGCGCGCTATGCCGCACTGGCACTGAATGAGATACAGAGGCGTCGCCGGCACCACTTCCTTCCACTGTGTGGCTCCTGTGTCTCGCTCCTCTATATTACCCACTTGGCTCAAAGGCGACACCAGAATTACGTGTTGAAGAAGCAAATCCAAAAACTAGACGAAGCTATAGAAAGTTGAACGAACTGTCTGGCCTGTCCGAGAAGCTGGGATATGCTGTGTGCAACATTTTGAAATTGGGGAATCTGAGTGTTCTGTGTATTGAATTTCTGTGACTATGTCGTTTATGTGACGTGCTGAGTAGTTGAATCTTGCCTTCCCTCTCTCTCCCCCTCATCATGTTCCTTCTCTCCCTCTCACCATCTTCCCTGTTCCTCCTCCCTCTCCCAATATCTTACATGTCCCATCTTTCCCTCCCACCACCTCGTGGATGCTTGAAGCAGCATCAGAAGTTATTGTTGAAAATTTACATGAAATTCCTGCTAGATATTGATTAAAGCAAACTTTAAGCCCATATACAAAGACAACGCACTGAAACACTTTGTAAGGAGATGAATTCTTCGGCCGACATCTTGAATAAGACGCATCAACGCTTTTTTTTCGAAATAAACAGAAGCTTCTAACTTTTTTGTTCTTACGAGATTATGTTTGCCTGTTCGCTGAGAGTATGTTTGCATATATTTTTGAAAGTGTTCTGAATTCTGGAATAATGCGAAAAAGTTGAGAATTGCAGGAAGTGCCAAAGTTGCTAGAGCCAAGAGATGGGTTTGGTTAGAGGCACGTTGGTAAATGGTGAGAATGAAACGATGGGTTTATGTGAAACGTTGGAGTTGGACATTGTGTTGAGACAGGCCAGCAATAGTAAACATTCAGTTATGGGAGTTGGTTACACTTACAGTCGTAGAGCAAGTGTGAGAGTCCTCAGCCAGCATGGTTCTGACCACGACACCCGGGCTCTGTGTATCACAGCGGAGAGAACATGTCTCTTGCTCCAGGAGGTATGGACTGTGTCTTGCTCCGGGAGTGAAAGGTGAAGTGGGAGATAGCTGGGGTGAGAGATGGTTGAAGTGAGAGATGAGTGAGGTGAGATACAAAGGAGGATGATGGAGAACAAGAGGGCCCAGGGTGTGGTTATGACCACTAGTGTGGTGCAGAGGAAGGACGTGGTGTGCCCTGAATAGGCTGCTGGAGGGCAGGTACAGTAGGAAAGTTGGTACGTAGGGGGAGAAGGAGGGAAGGTATCTAGGGGCCGAGGAAAGGTACTTAGGGAGTACTTTAAGGTACTTTCAGGTACAGAGGGTGGGATAGTACTTAGGGAGGGAGTAAGGGTTCTTAGATCAAAATGGACGGTACTTAAGAAGTAATGGTATTAATAATAGATAGAGAGAGGAAGGGAAGGTACTTAGGGATAGGATGAATAAGGAAAGGAGGGAATAAGAAATAGTTGGTGGAGAACAGAAAAGAGAGAGAGAGAAGCTCCCTTCTCATTGGCTTTGGCACTCTACAAGTTTGTATTCCACCAAATTTGTTCTTATTATTCATTAATGACAGTGTTCACAGTCTCTCTGAACCTGTTGTCTGCAGTGCTAACACTCTTGACTCCCTGCAGGTGTGGCCACGGCCCTCTGCTCCACCAGGGCCCTCTGCTACTCCAGGGCCCCTCTGCTCCTCCAGGGCCCCTCTGCTCCTCCAGGGCCCCACTGCTCCTCCAGGGCCCCTGTGCTCCTCCAGGGCCTCTCTGCTCCTCCAAGGGCCCCTCTGCTCCTCCGGAGCCCTTTGCTCCTCTAGGGCCCTCTGCTCCTCCAGGGCCTTCTGCTCATATGCCTCATCCCAAGTTACTTTTGATACACTTAAACTGCTGTCTAATTAAATAGTTAAAAACTACACAATTTTACCAAATAAAACATTAAATAACTATTCGAGTTTCAGGTATTCTTAATGCTTGGATCACGAACCTTAAACTACTATCAATACTCAAGCACTACAATTATTTTAATTTCACCTGGAAACATTGCATATCAGTTACTGTATGTGAGAAATTGCAAAAGGTCTTTTTCGTCTTGTCTAGATTCTAGAGTACTGCACTTCCATATGGGGAAGTTGCTCTACAGTTGAGAGGAAACTAATATATTACTCCAGGTGACTAATGCCAACACACAGGACCCTTAACTTACTGTTGTTGAAAAAAAAAATCCCAAATTTATTTTCATTTATTTTTCATTTTCAAATTACGTCCATATTCGGCCATACGGACAAACGGCCAAAAGCGACGGTCTTTTTAAGAGGACAGGCTGTAGGCTTGAACTGTTAACCTCCCGTAGTAAAGTTGGTTCTCGCTCCATCCTCTTCTAACACGGCTCGTGCTCCCAGGAACGTCCAGGTCTCTTCTCGCCTGTGATCACGTTGTGCTCGTTTCACAGCTTCATCTCACAGCTTCAGTGTCCATGGTTAATACAAAATACATTGCTCGCCCATTTGTTTATTCGCCCATTTCCGGGGGTGAAATGGGAGAGGGAGGAGGGAAATGTTCCATAGCGGACAAGGAAGAGGGTGGGCGATTAAACGAGAGAGTAGGAGGACGAAGGAGACCAAAGAAATGTTTTGTGGCGGTTTGAGGAGGCCGCCATTGAAAGGGATCGGTAGGAGCAGGAGAGCAGTGAATAAGGGAAAGGGGATTGTTAGAGATCTTGTGAAAGGGATGGGGGAGGGGGGGGGGTAGTGGGTGGATGATGCTGATGATGATGGAAGATGTTGATGTCTGATGAAGAGTAAGCCACCCAAGAGGTGGCACGGGCATGAATAGCCCGTAACAGGGAAGAGGTAATGGAGTACATAACAGTGAAGAAAAAAAAATCAAAAGAAAAGGAGCGAAGACGGAGCGAAGGGAAGACGAGAAGAGATGACAAAAGAAGGAAACAAATATACGCGAAAAAAAACTGATTTACACTCTTCCATCCTGCATACAACAGCCCCATCCTGCTCCACTTTACCTCCTTCCCATCTCCTCGCCTTCCACCTGTTACATCCTTCCTCCACACTCCTCACCAAGGTGTACACTTCCTCCACACTCCTCACCAAGGTGTACACCTCCTCCACACTCCTCACCAAGGTGTACACCTCCTCCACACTCCTCACCAAGGTGTACACCTCCTCCACACTCCTCACCAAGGTGTACACCACCACCTCCTCCACCTCACCAAGGTCACCTCCTCCACTCACCAAGGTGTACAACTCCTCCACACTCCTCACCAACGTGTACACCTCCTCCACACTCCTCACCAAGGAGTACACTTCCTCTCCTCCCTCACCCCCATGACCTAGTCCACCTTCATCACTCTTATCTGTATTATCTCTCGGCTCCACTTTGCCTATTATGTTCCTTATTCCTTATAACCCCTGTGGCTCATTTTTCCTACCTTACCTTACCTTATCTTGCCTCACCGTTTGGTTTGGCTGACATAATAACATATTTAAGAAACTAAACAAAGAGGCTTATAAGTTCGTAGACATTGCCTATGTGAGACGATTACACGAGTACGCAGCACCGGCGTGGAGCCCACACTTTGTGAGGCTCAAAAGGAAACTTGGGAAAGTAAAGAGATATGCAGCAAGATTAGTACCAGAAATAAGAGGGACCAGCTGTGAGGATAAATCAAGGGAATTCACAATCTTAGAAACAGTAAACAGAGGATATGATCATTACATAAAAGTTACTGAGGGGGAACAGACAAAGTGGACCAAGGAACGCTATTTAAGCTGAAAGGAAGCAAGACAAGAAGACATCAGAGAATTATATTGAAGGAAGAAATTCTCGAAGCCACTGCCATCCACAGATTAACATTAACATGCGATAGGAATTTGAAATGTAGAGAGACGCAATTAGCAGGTCAGAAATGACCAGGCGGCCGGGAGTAAACATTAGATCTCACCCCCTATGTTGTCACACATAGGTGACCTGCAGCCCCCATCACCACCCCTGCATCACCCCCATAACACCCCTTACTCCATCCCCGCCTCCTGCACCCTTACCCTGATCCTTCCCCCACCTTCCATTTCCACCCTATCTACCTTTCTAACTACCTCGATCTCCCTCACAGCCCTTCTATCACAACCTCCACCCACTTTTCCTCCAGCGCCCCTACCCCACCTCCAACCCCATCCCTATTCCTTCCTACATTCCCCCCCCCCCTCTCACCACACCCAAAATAGGGCGGCACGAATTTTAAATTATATGAACTGTTTAAAAGCCCTTACTTCCTGCCTTTTCCCAGCGACTGTGCTCTGCTCACCAGAATCACCAAAAAATTTAATTTTCAAGGCATTAATGTTCTTCCTTGTGACGCACGAGCCTCGTAGCGACCATAGACATTGAAGTTTGTTATGGGAAATAAGTTATTTTTTACGGTTTTTCCCCCCTTCGAAGGCAAATGTTGTGTCGTTTAGTGATTTGTGAGCGACGGAGTTCAAGAGAGAGAGAGAGAGAGAGAGAGAGAGAGAGAGAGAGAGAGAGAGAGAGAGAGAAGTGGGACTTCTTAAGAATGTGTTAGAGCTTTCTAAAATCGAAACGGTGAGTTTTAAGAATGTGTAAATGGTTTCTAAACTAATACTCCATCCCCATGATCAAGAATGGGGATAGTGTTTTAAAAAATAATGGATAGACTTTTCTAAAAATAAAGATGTTATCAAAGTAGGAAGGTGTCTGAGAGAAACGTAGGGGTTCCATTGGAGGAGTAGGGAAGTTATAATAAGAGGGACGGCTATTTCTCAGAAAGGGAATGGGTTTCTGGGTTAAAAGTGTTGGGTATTTCTGAGCGATGTAGAGGGGTACCTAAATAAGGGATTGGGATTCACAAACCAGGGTAAAGTGTATTTAAGAGAGAGAGAAAGAGAAGAGGGAGACTCGAATGGAACATGTGAACATGAGAATACAGAAATCAGCAGAAGGCCAATAAGGCCATGGGAGGCCGCTCCCATATGTCTCCCATTCCGCCAGCTCATATGCTTGTCTAACCATTAATTGAAACTGTCCAGGGAGCCTGCTTCCATTAGCGTTACTTGGTAACTTGTTCGGCTACTCCGTTTACTCAACCTCTCTCTCTCTGTCTCTCTCTACATATATATATATATATATATATATATATATATATATATATATATATATATATATATATATATATATATATATATATATATATATGTCGTACCTAGTAGCCAGAACGCAATTTTTGGCCTATTATGCAAGGCCCGATTTGCCTAATAAGCCAAGTTTTTCTGAATTAATATTTTTTCTCTAATTTTTTTCTTATGAAATGATAAAGCTACCATTTTCATTATGTATGAGGTAATTTTTTTTTATTGGAGTTAAAATTAACGTAGATATATGACCGAACCTAACCAACCCTACCTAACCTAACCTAATCTATCTCTTTAGGTTAGGTTAGGTTACGTAGCCAAAAAAGTTAGGTTAGGTTAGGTTAGGTAGGTTAGGTAGTCGAAAAACAATTAATTCATGAAAACTTGGCTTATTAGGCAAATCGGGCCTTGCATAGTAGGCTGAGAAGTGCGTTCTGGCTACTAGGTACGACATATATATATATATATATATATATATATATATATATATATATATATATATATATATATATATATATATATATATATATATATGTCGTACCTAGTAGCCAGAACGAACTTCTCAGCCTACTATGCAAGGCCCGATTTGCCTAATAGACCGAGTGATTTTCTTTATTTTCAAAATATTGTTTCCAGTTGGTTTATTTGAAATATTATTATATTATATTAAGAACATAAAGTATTGACTTACTTATGTTAGTTTAGGTTAGGTTAGGTAGGGTTGGTTAAGTTCGGTCATATATCTACGTTAGTTTTAAATCAAATTAAAAAAAATTAACTCATACATAATGAAATGGATAGCTTTATCATTTCATAAGAAAAACATTATGTAATGGTCTTGAAGTGGGTAGAATATAGTTGTGCATTAATTTTCTGTTGAACAGCTAATTAATGAACAACTATATTCCACCCACTTCAAGACCCCGAACCAACATAGAAGCGTAACTCTTTGGCTCCTTCCTGTTAGGTAGTTCCTTATCCATGTTAGGGCCTTTCCTCCCACCCCCGCCTGCCTCTCAAGTTTGAATAGCAGTCTCATGTGCGGTACTGTATCAAAGGCTTTTTGGCAGTCTAGAAATATGCAGTCTGCCCGACTTTCTCCGTACTGAATTATCCTTGTTATTTTATCATAGAATTCCAAAAGGTTTGTTAGGCATGATTTCCCTTTCCAGAACCCATGTTGCTGTTTGTTCACAAACCTAATGTTCTCCAGGTGTGCAACAAGTCTTAGCATAATTATTCTTTCAAGTATTTTGCAGGGATGCTTGTCAGTGATACAGGTCTGTAGTTAAGTGCCTCCTCCCTATCTCCTCTCTTGAAAATCGGTACGATATTTGCCTTCTTCCAGCAACTGGGCAATTCTCCCGACTTAAGTGACTCATTAAAGATCATTGCCAGAGGCACGCTGAGGGCCTGCGCTGCTTCTTTTAGTATCCACGGTGATACTTTGTCTGGTCCAACAGCTTTAGTTGCATCCAGTGTTGTCAACTGTTTCATTACCTCCTCTGCTGTCACCTCCATACCTATAGTCTTTCATCTAGGGTAATATCTTCTAACAATGGGAGCTGCTCAGGCTCGGCTGTGAACATTCCATGGAAACTAGCATTCAGTGCCTCACAGATTTCCTTGTCACTTTCTGTATATGCCCCTTCTGTTTTCCTCAGTCTTGTCACTTGGTCGTTCACTGACATCTTTCTTCTTATATGGCTATGTAGTAATTTAGGTTGCTCTTTCGCTTTGATCGCAATATCATTCTCATAATTTCTTTCTGATACTCTTCGGATGTTAATGTTATCGTTCGTAGCTCTGTTACATCTGATCCCGTTGTCCTCTGTCCATTGTCTTCTGTTCTTCCTCCACTCCCTCCTGTTTCTCATTTTTGCTTCCTGACACTGTTAAACCATGGGTTATTATACCCCCCACTCTGTTTTTTTCCCCTTACTGTTGGTATAAATCTCTCTTCGGCCTCCTTTCATTTCCATATGACTAGGTTCATCATATCTTGGACTGTTTTTTCCCTCTAATTTCTTCCTCCCACTGCACTTCTCCCAGACAGTCCCTTATCCTCCTGTAGTCCCCTTTTCTGTAGTCAACTGTGTGTGTGTGTGTGTGTGTACTCACCTATTTGTGCTTGCAGGATCGAGCAGTGTGTGTGTGTGTGTGTGTGTGTGTGTGTGTGTGTGTGTGTACTCACCTAATTGTGCTTGCGGGGGTTGAGCTTTGGCTCTTTGGTTCCGCCTCTCAACTATCAATCAACTGGTGTACAGATTCCTGAGCCTACTGGGCTCTATCATATCTACATTTGAAACTGTGTGTGTGTGTGTGTGTGTACTCACCTAATTGTACTCACCTAATTGTGCTTGCGGGGGTTGAGCTTTGGCTCTTTGGTCCCGCCTCTCAACTGTCAATCAACTGGTGTACAGATTCCTGTGCCTACTGGGCTCTGTCATATCTACATTTGAAACTGTGTATGGAGTCAGCCTCCATATGATATGACATATGTGTGTGTGTGTGTGTGTGTGTGTGTGTGTGTGTGTGTGTGTGTGTGTGTGTGTGTGTGTGTGTGTAATGAGGTAGATTTAGGACCATTACAGCGTGGCAGGTGAGGCGAGGTTCCCACCATGAAGGTAATTACCCCCATTATCACCAACCATGGCTGCCTCCCCTGATGGCTTAAATGTAGAAATCAAACCCACAAGAAAAATTATGTATTTACCTAGATGTGACGGGACTCCTGAACTGCTGCCGTGAGTTAGGAACAGCTGAGAGTTAGACGATACTGCTAGCTGTACTTGCGTAGACTGAGCTCAGCTCTTGGGTTCCGCCTTGACACATGTTCCAGAGTCTTTAAGAATCTATCATACATAGAGCGATGCTCTGTATGGTGTTTGATTCCATCGCTTTAATCTCAAGTTGATTACACTTATTTACTTATATGATACTAAAGAAGTTGTAACATCCATAAGACTCGGCCGGGAAATTAGTTCCTACCTGTATCCTCTTGTCCGAGCAAAATTTCAAATGATCATTGTGTTCACTTTTAATTACATTGAGTATTATGTATGCCTTGATCACGTTTCCTCTATTCCCTCCTGCAGCAATGGGAGATTTACCTCTACTATTTCCTCATAACTTATGTTTGCAAGTTCTGGCACTTGCATTCTCTCATTCCGTGTTGATGCC